CCTTAAGATTTCTTAAAACGACAACAGATGGTGTAGAGATACCAGAAATGTGACTTCATGTACAATGTATTAAGTACTGCTCGCATTGACACCAACATTTATTTATTGTTCAAATGGTACTGTGCCTCAGACCAGATGTGTGTGGAGTTTTGATTTGACTGTGACCTTGGAAGGGTACAATCGTGTATTGTAAACCTCTAATTCTGAGTTGGCATGGGCTCAGCATTTTGTTTCAAATTCAGAGAAATTTACCAGTTTTCAGCTTACTGGTATTAATTTCTAAAATACAGTCACATTCTAATCATGTGTATTTTCTTGGGCAAGTCTACTTGAAACTATACAAAAACGGTTGTCTGAAATGTGAAGATACACATGTACAGGTACTTAAAAATTCAACAAATATTTGGGCTCAAATACCAGAATTTTTCTGAAAAGATCATTTTAAAGAAATACCGCTAGGGGATTTTTTTAAATGAAGAATGAGAATGGTACATGTTTTATGTGTGTGTGACTTAGCCAACAAGCAATACAAGCCACACGCAACAAAGACAAAACTTACATGTATATGTATAAAACTTTACAGTTAGGGCCCAAGTAATGTATAAGTGTATGCTGGCAGTTACATGTAGCTCGTTACTCAAGAATATTAGGCTTTGCCATGGACACACACCCACACTTTCCAGTCTAAACTAAGGAGTGATTAATTTCCCATAATAAACATTTATTAGCTGCCCAGCATTCCTGATTGAATTTGACCCCTTAAATTAAATAAAAACACTGTCCTTGTCAAGCGAGGGACCTAATTTCATTTTTATTATTATTATTTTGGGGGGATGCCTTGATTCAATTTGTACTGGTTCTGGTATCCAGCAGAAACGACTTACATTTGATAATGCCATCAATCTGCATTGCAGGCAATGGGGGTACTCCGAAAATCACTTGGTGGTGAAAACTGTGGCGGGCATCACTAAGGGACTGGCTGACGGTAACAGTGTATGTCCTCATACGGTGTGGGTCATAGTGCACTGAGGACCGTTGGGCATTCATGTGAAGTTGCCGGCTTTGTGTTTATTTCACTATAACTAAAGTCAGTGGCATTTTGACAAATGATATTTTTAGCTGATCCATTTCATTTGGTCTTTATTGCAGGCAGCAAGTGTTATTGTTAGAAAGGAGGGCACAGTAGGGCACTAGTTAGAACAAAGAACAGAGGTGTATTGCAAGAACAAAGCCACTAAAAAGAGGGGAAACTGTACTTTTGGGGGTTTGGATGAGTTCAGAGTCATGCACCAGTACATGCATTAACACTTGCAAAGAAATGACAAATAATCAAGTTTGTCTGGACGGTGAGGCATTATTTATTGGAATTTCACTTTGTAGTAGATTGAGGCTTGCTTTGTTCATGACGACTGAAGCACGTACACTGTGTATGTACATGTGCTCCATACCTTCACACATGTACGTGCTTCTTGCCATATCTTGGCAAGTTCTGTATGCGTGTTCAATCAATACACATTTGGCAAGGTGCGTAGGTACTTCAGGGTACTCTGTACTTCAAGTCAAAGGCACGCACACGCCAACCTGTATTTGCACGGTACTTTTTTGTTGATAATTATCGATTATGAGTTCCACGTATAGTGACAATTGTGGACATTCTGTCAGCACAATTCAGCAATCATACGTGCATGCCAGGACAATAATGCAGTCAACTGGACAGAAATTGCAGTTGTGGTTCATGTTTGTGTAGAGGACAGCTTGAAAGTCTGTGTCTCCGGTGACCTCAGCTCAAGGTCAACACGCCTGGGGCTTTTGTAGCCTCCTTCTCCAGTGAACCCTGTCTAAGGTCAGAGTCTGAGGCTCCAGACTGATCCAACGGTTTTTGAGAAGTTAGAGCAGAACATGCACTCATTCCTGCCCATTCATCTTATTGTTCGGTAAATATTTATCACTGAACTGTCTCTGGATTTAGATTCATCGCTTTTTTTCTGTGGATTTTCTACTAGTGACCATCATTTAATTCATGAACGATCAGTGTAAGAGGAAGAATGTACAGAATTGGTTGGAACATTTTTTGCCCTTTGGTCCTGTTTCTTGTTTATGGTGTTTTGTCAGCTTCATTGAGAACAGCCAGACAATAATTTGACGAAAAAGTCACAGATAGAAATTCTTTTGTCCGTCTGCCTCTGCACCAAACAGAATTTTCCAGGCCAGGTACATAACTGTAATCCGATCATGATTTCTTTTTGCTCACATGAACCTCTCAGGATCCCGTTTTCAGAAATTATGACTTTTAGAATGTTCAGGATGTGGATGTGAAGAACTCAACATTTTTCTGTTCTCACCTGCCATCCTCTGGGCTCTAACTCACCTGAGTATTTCAGAGTGTTCATGTACATGTACATTACTTTGTGTTAGAGTGTTCAAAGTGTCACTGTACATGAACATGTAGCTACCGGTATCAAATAGTACAATCTGCTTATAAAAACTGAATCAAAATGAGACCCTCTTTAAAAGTAATCCTGCAAATGTATATTTTGAAATAAAGATTTGTCACTGACCAAGAGTAATATTGCTGTACTCTTTGGCCAGTGGCCATGCACACAGTAGGCAATGAGAGAGATCCATTGGCATGTCCAGCCCTTGGGCAAAAAATTGCTCTCAGCAAGCAAGGGTCAAAGCACTCGCCCAACAGGGTGCGTCACTTCAGCAGAAAGCCTACCCTCAACACGGAGTGCAGACCAAGTGCAGAGTTGTATCCAAATGCCCAAAACTCAGGTAAATAATGGAGGAGAGCTTGGCTCCTAATATGGACAGCTCAATCATGCATTCACTAAGCCAAAGTGGCCACATGCCAAGATACTGCTATGCACACTGCAAGCTCTGGTGAGCTGACCTCAAGATGCTGAAGAGGAGAATTAAGTTAGTGTGACTGTTAACAGCATGGTAGTGATTTCCGGGCAAACTATCAAATCTGATTAGAGTAGCTGGGAACACTGTTCAGGCGTGGAATACAATCTTGAGATTTCTGGGCCACTTCACACCATGCTGTGGATTATGATATTCAGCATAATATTATGGGGGGGGGGTTGTTCAGTGCCCAAGGTTGTAAGAGCATTGTTGTGATACAGACCAGGTTCTGCCATTCCTTTGTCATTCAGAGCTACATGTACTTAGCCTATGTAATCCATCTCTTAATGACCCACTTTCTCAAGGCCCAGCATGCAGATGATCGAGGCTCATTGAAGCCCAGGCTATGCTGGTGGGTTCTCTCAGAAGATTAAAAAGGGAAAAAACTGCTTTGGGCTGGAAATAAATGGAAATATTGACCTTTGGTCCCCATGCGCTGGAACAGTTTGCTCTCAATCCATCCACTGTTTTGTTGTGGCCTTATCAATGTTTGAATCTTTAAGGTCTGACAATTACAGTGTATGTTGAACTTGGTAACCTTGATGACAGTGGACAGATTGACTTACACTGATTTTTCACATAGAGATAGCTGCTTTGTCCAAATAGGTTGTGATAACACTTTGTAAAATATGCCATATGTATGATTTGAAATAGTAGAAATGCTTGTCTCTGTTCATGTGCATACAGTGTTCCTGTACATGTACGGTACACATTCTTCTAGAATCCTTGTAATCACATACTGGTATTTGTATAACATGTTTGGGCATGAGCAAGTGTGTCCCACATTCATGTACATTTATCTTCAGGCAAACTTGAATTATCAATTCTGATTAGTCAATCCATGGCAACAACCTGTGATACATTCGGTAACTGTATTGCATAGTTCATACCAAACCCCGCATAATGCGCTGTTCTAACTCAATGCATTGTTCTTATGCTAAAAGCCAAACACACAACTGCCAAAATTACTTTAAATTTAAAGATGACGCGTTTGCACGCACAGGCCCCTGTAACATCTTTACTGCGCATCAAGTTTTCTTGAAGATGAATTGGTTATCACACTCGTGGAACACAGAATAATGTAGTGTGTCTGTGTCCCGTAAGCCTGGTAGAATGCCTGAGCAGGTTTGTCAGGAAAAAAAGTAATGAATTAAGTGGAATTTCTTGCCTGTGAATTTGGAGCTTGGCGACTGTAATTTAAGATGTTCATAGGCTGATAGTCGCTCAGTCTCAGTACTTGGTAGCTCACTCAAAGTTGTACACATGTATAGAGTACACTGTACACTGTATGTGCATTAAACCATGCATACATGTAAATTTTAATGAAAAGAGTCTGACATACATTGTACATGTATCATTTGCTCTGACACTTCATCGGAGAGCAGCTGGTCGTCAATTTATCAAAAGGGTGCAAATGGGAAAAACATTCCCCTGTGTGATTTACTGCTGCTAAATAGGTTTAGCAATTACTGGTAGATTGTCATTTTGCTGTAGCCTTGAAATCGAATGGGAAAGCTTTGTCATGAATTCACTGCTCTTTCATTAAAGCTATAAACTGTACCTATCATGTTGCTGTGAGGCACCACTTGTACAATGTGTGTGTTGGTGTCCACGCATTTCATGTATACACTGTGGGGACTTCCGAACAAAAAACGTCCACATTATGTGGGATAAGCAGACACTGTGTGAGTTAGAAGGATTGCTAGAATTTAGGATTATGTTTACATGTATGGTATATGAACTTGTGATGGAAATTTAAAAACAAAAAAGCAAACTAAGACAAAAAACAAAAGTAGCAAGTGCTTTTTTGGAGGCCCTCCTTGCGTTGGAATGTGTACAAATATTTTGGCATTTTTAAATCTTTAAACCTGCTGGAATTAATATTGAGATAGAACCTTTGAGTTCTATTTCAGGTTAATTACTGGCACTTCGAAATTTTTGTGCAATTAGCTTTTTTTAAGTCTTCACTGGAAAACTATCTTATGCAGCTACCATTTCCAGTAGACAGTGTTCATGTGTACCCTGACAAATGACATCTTTGACCATTTCAAAATAGTTGTTCATGTTTTCCTGTTATCACTTTCCTATTTTAGCTGTTCCACCTTTCATCAACCGGCACCCGCAGGGTGACACAGCGTTTGCAGGCAACACAGAGCTCCTCAGTTGTCAGGCATTGGGCGATACCCCCCTAGAGTACCAGTGGCTGAAGGACAACCTGATCCTGGGTAACTATGATGCGCAAGGGGCCGCATACCTGCTGAGGAACATACAGAGGAGCGATGCGGGGGAGTACAGGTGCCGTGTCCGCAATGACATCGGGACCGTCATGAGCAAAAGGGCTGTCTTGCATGTTGCTTGTAAGTACATTCACCCAAACTTCAGCAAATCCACCTGAATCCTGTAAAATTCATCACCGTCAAGCAAAACAGTAGCACTTTATAAGGACATCAAGTTTTATGTAGTTGCTGTGTGGCTTCACATTGTAGAATTGAAGGTTTGGGATTTTGACATTGACGTGTCAACCTTAATCACAAAAAAAGCCTTCAAACTTTGTGTAAATCAAACTGCATTTGGTGCTGAAGGTTTAGGATAGGTAATTGTAATTCACAACTTAGTTTGATAAATAACACAAGATACTGGTATAATGGTTTCAATTATGATTCTGAATAAAAGTATACATGTATATTGGCAACATTGACAGCTATTGTTCATTCCTACATGCACCTATCAAACCCCTCTGAGTTCTGCATAGATCTGTATGGACATTTCCTTGGTTTTCCCTGTCAGATTTTGACAGTTTTGTGGGAGGTGATCGGACGGAGATTGCCACAGCTGGACAGGCTGTCATTTTGTCCTGTCCCGATGTAGGTAAGCCGTATTTTCTTTGCAACTGTTGATGTGCTCTCCGTGTTTGCTTTCTGCCGAGCTAGGGCAGGATACCAGAAGAGTTCAACATAGGCTCCTAGCACAATTAGAAAAGAGGCTAGACTGGCAACATCCAGCCACTTTAAGGGATTCTTTAACAAAAATAGGAATGTACACTAATGATGACATGAGAAATTTCCTTTGCAAGTGCAGTGCACTTATGTGGCAATATGGCAGTTCACTGCAAAGGGAAAAATTTCTCTGGTCAGTACTGCAGTATGGGAAACATTTCTTTTATTACAAAAATTTGGACTCGCTTTTTTGAGCTCTTGTGTGTCCTCAGAACATTTTTGGATCTCCACAGTAACTATTGTACAGCACACGTGGTCCGTACTACTGCATGCCAAACTGTGTGTCACGGAGTAAGAGAAAATGAACCTGTCTGCTCAACCAAAACACATTATTTTTGCCCACCTTCACAGATAGTTTCCCAGCAGCTAGCATCAAATGGCGCAAGGACGGGGATGATGTCAGCAGCGACAATAAAATCGTGACCATTGACAATCGGCTGGTCATCTTGGATTCCTCCAGTGCCGACGAGGGAGTGTACACCTGCTTGGCTAAAAACGACTTCACACAAGAAAGCAGGGTCAGCCCATCAATTACACTCACAGTCCAAGGTATGTGTCTGAAAGCTACCTTGTAAAAGTAATTTTTGAAATATTTTTTTTAATGTGAATTTTAGACTTGTCACTAAGTCCAGTGTTGTACTCGTCCTTTTCTGAGTCACGGGTCAGTATTGTCAGAAACAACCTTGAAAAACTAGACCTACAGTATGTGTTCCAAGTAAGCATGCTGTGATTGGTAGATCTGAGTGTTTGAAAAGGTATGTTGGGAATGGCTGCTCATTTATCCTCTCAAGTCCAAGTACTTGCATTGCAATTAAGAGTTAACCGGGGAATAGGACATTCTCATTACACTCTTTTTCTTCCCAGGGAATTCATTTTCATTTCACCAAACTTCACAGCCTGAGAATGAGCATTTTCAAACTGTTTTGTATTCGGCAAAGTGTGTCTACGATGACCTTTTCAGTCCAATCTTTCACCATTTTGGGTTCAACAGGTGTGAATCCACCCAGCATTGTGCCTTCGATTGTTGTTCCGCCACGCGACACAGTATTCATCCAGGGAGATAGCATTGCCAATATGGAGTGCATTGTCAATGCAAGGTTGGTTGACAAGGAAATTTAATTTGACTAAATGTGTATGTGTACATTGTGTTCTTGAAGGCGTGCATGGTAGATGTGAATTATTTATTGTACTGCAACTGGCATTCTGTGCAAGCTACATACATTTATGACAGAGCCAATTTAACCATCCCAGTTTTTGACAAGATGATGGCACATGATTAAAAGTGCTTTCCCATGCGACAGACTAATCCGATTAGACGCCCTAACTGCGGTGGCACCGCACTCACACGCACATTCTTTAGCGTGCCGCGCGCATGCATTTGGCAGATAACGACACCCTGTTGGTCAAAGAGGCATGTAACGCGCGCGTACCACCCGTCCAAGAACGTTGTGCCAATGCTGTAATGGCTTCTAATTCTGGTGGTCGAATTACACTACATGTACCTGTGCTATCGTAACTGTTGAACAAAATTTGGATGACGTACAGCAAATTAATATTTTGTATTTTTGATTACCGGTTTTGCCCTTATTCCGATGTATATTCATGACACTGTATATACAGTGGTTGTCTGAAAGCTTGTGAAAAAATGTGCAAAGCTTTAATACTTGGGTGGGACTCGAACCCACAGTGTCCTGCTTACTTGTGCCTTCATCTTAACCACTCGACCCCTGAGCTTATCGGGGTCGGCTGGTCGGTCAGAGTCAGTTGTAGCAGCAAGTATCGTAAGCTATTTTGCATTGTGGAGATGTTAACCACTTGCTGTCGGGTGCTTTTAAAAATGCAGTGTCTTAAACTGGGCAGTTTTCAGTATCTTAGGTTTTCAAAAATCTTCAAAAATTCATATCTTTTTTCCTGAATGCCTAAACCCTATTGAGTGACTGTCTGGTGCTACTCTAATCTGATAGACAACATCTATTGATGCGCGAGTATTTCAGCCAGGCCTGCCGCCTTGTAAAAAGAGCCCAGATTGTGTGGTGTTACATAAGATTCTTTTCGTCCTGAAACTGACACAGTGTGCTGCTGGCATCTTTTCAATACGGGCCGGATAAACGTGCAGCGGTATTTTATCACTCATCACTGGAATGCTGGTGCACTTTTGTCCCTGGTGGTAATCCTCTCACGCTGAATGCCACAACAGCAGTATAATCTTTCAAAACAATGATGAATTTTCTCCGCTATCGATAACTGAAGAATGTTGGCAATTCCCAGCAGCTCGGTCTTTTGTTCTGAGTATGGTCTTTTGTTACAAGGCCCAGCTCTTTTGTCCGATTTCGGGCACCCCGGCACGAAGTGGTTAATTTTTAATTACGAGTCCCCCCCCGACAAGCACTGAGTATGCAGTGTCATGAATATATGTTGGTGTTAAGGCAAAATCCGTAACTAAAAATTAACATCTCCCCGACTCAAAGTACACGTTGAAAAAATATTTTGTAGTTGAATTGAGATGGGTCTTTGATGCATTGAATAGCTTCCCTCGACAAACCAATGCCCCTGGCTTTACCTCAGAAACCAGCTTGTCAGGACCCACCATCTTGTTGAGCATATACTGATTATCCATCCTCAAATCATGCTGTAATAAAAGGTACCCACTGTGGTCTCATTGTTTCAGACCTCTGGTGGACCTGTCAATAACCTGGAAGCGTAACGGAGTCGTCTTGCAGACTGGGGGCACTGAAGCATTCACATACCAGATTAGAAGTCCTTCACAGAGTACCAAAGGCGTGTACGAGTGCGAGGCTGCAATGCCCTCCGGTGTTTCAGTCCGTGCCACAGCAAATCTGACCTCTTACAGTAAGTACGACTCATGCCCAGACTCTTGCAGTTGCCAGCTGCAAACTTTTGTCTTGATTTGCCGAGAATCTGATATACGTGTATCCTCCCCCCCCCCATTTTCATCATTCCCAGCTTGTGTAAGATTATGGGAAGGGGCCATGGAAGGTGATAAATATGCAGAGATGTTTGTGCATA